AATAATAGTAACTCATAACTCTACTTAACCCAATTCAGGACTTTCATGTTTCCATACATAGAAGGTCTCCAACGGACCCCAAGAAAGAATATGTGCAAAACATTTGTTGGTATTCATTACAGACATTTGTACTATGTTAAATACATTTTCTGATCAGTTGACATATTTTTGCAAATGCATGACAAATGTCCCTCTTTGTAGCGTGATTAGGTTAATTTTGTCCACTCTGATTATAGGTATAAGTTTCTTTGTTTTTCAGACAATGAGTATTTTTTAGCTGCTTTTACCTTTGACATGTTTCAACTGTCACATCAGTCTTTTTCAGAAACGTCACTGACGTCTGTGGTGACGTCTGCTGGTGGTTTCATGGAGGCGTGACTCGCCTGGTAATCTGTCAGATTTGCCCGACGGGCCACGTGGTCTCTGCAGGAGAGAGTCCCATGTGTTGGACAGCATGAATGCCCCCTCATCACGGTTCTTTTTATATTTAAAGAAAATCTTCAAAAATAAAAAACAATACCTGTCACCTTAACCAAATGGCCTGGGGTCCAAAAGTCCTGAATTGGGTTAAGTCAGATACTTTTAAATGTTCTTAGTTCCTTAGCACGTGTAGACATGTTATACATACTGAACCATAGTTTATTAAAGAAGCAGTTCTACATTTTAAAGTCTGTCCTAAAACAATATCGATATTAGTCTTTAATCCTCACTAGGGTCATGGGGGGCTGGAGTCTATCCCAGCTGACTCAGGGTGAAGGCAGGGGACACCCTGGACAGGTCACCAGTCTATCACAGGGCTACACTTAGAGACAGACAACTAAGCACACTCACATTCACACCTATGGACAATTTAGAATCACCAATTAACCTCAACATGTTTTTGGACCCTGTGGGAGGAAGCCGGAGAACCCTGAAAGAACCCACGCTGCACGGGGAGAACATGCAAGCTCCACACAGAAAGATCCCAGCAGTCCTCTCTGGGACATGAACTGGCTGTGAGGAGACGGTGCTAACCACCGATCCACCTTGTAGCCTCCATGTACAAATAAATGAGGTTATTTGTGCCTGTTCCTTCTGCCCATACTGATCACTAAGAGGTGGCTGTTCCAAAGCTGAGCCTCAAATTTAATTTTTATAGACTTATAGACCAGGGGGTTCTCAAACTTTCCAGCCCCCTCCCCATTCCTGATATAGAGTTGTTGCTTTATAAAAGCAGACCACTACAAAAGTTGAGCTTGTGTATCTGCTGGAGTCCTCAGGCTTAAGTTATTAGCAAGAAACTGTGAACTGGCAGCAATGTCAAACTGTTTACCAACATTAATGCTGTAATAATAATTTCGTCATATCGCCCAGCCCTGGTTATAATGTGCCAACATTAATGCAGGTGCACTCAAACATGCAGGCACTGCAAAGAAATGCTCATGATCTTGATGTTAAAGTCTTTGCTGCACTAGAGTCAATCATTCTCAGTGGTGCGTACGGCCACGCTGCCGCCCCACACTGCATTTTGATCAGTTGATTTATTTGTTATTTTTGGGTTGGAAGTTAGTTTATACAAATGAAGCACTACAGACTGACTATTGGCTACGTTGGATAGTTTGTCTAGTTGTTTTGTCATTAAAATGTTTTTTTTTGTTGTTTTTAAAAAAAACACATTCACAACCATCTCAAGGCCCCAGTGGCAGCTCTCTGTGGCCCCCTAGTGGGCCGGGGCCCACCTGTTAACAACCACTGTACTAGACTGCTATTTTATTTTATTCTCCACTTGCTGTTCCATTTAGCCCTTGTTTCTACAGTGTTTTCTTGTTTCTATTCATTCTTTTTCTTTACTTTTATCCCTCATATTCGTATATTTTCTTTCCTTCAATGGGCTGTGGGATTTTGGTGCTTTTATTGTCTTTTTCTATCAGTTGGTGTTATTAATTTGTCATTTTGAAATTCTGTATTTTGTATTTCGTGTTTTGTTTTGTTTTGTTTTTTTACGTGTTTTTTTTTTTAATTTTATTTTTTACTGCATTTAACCTTCTTTCTCTAATTCTTGCTTTTCTGCTCTTTGCTTTTGCTTTCTGTTTGGCCTGACTGGCTGTGTGTTGTAATGTCACCTTCCTGAGTGCTTCTTTTTTGGTTTGGTCGGTCAGAGCACTTTGAATCACTTTTTTATACTGAACCTGCTTTATAAAGCCATAATAATGATACATTTATTCATAGAGCAGCTTTTAAAAACAGAGGTTACAGCCATTTTTGCCTAACATTCCTTCTTGTTTCCTCCACTGTGACAGTGTTTCCTTGCTGAGCTGCAACTTGACGACATATTTGATTCTGAAAAGCCTGACTTTGGAAGACCCACTTTGATTTGCCAGCTTTAACTAAACCTTATGCATTTTATGTTCTATTATTCAACAGAATCAGTACTTTGTCCCTCATAACAAACTCTGAAATTATTTTAGGCGGTGATATCTTGTTGAGATTATGCATGTTTTCAATGTACAATTAGGCATGTATTAAGATCTAAAATATGACTCTATCCATGAAGGATGAGAGCAAGATAAAGTCATGCTGGTGTCAGGTAGAACAAGTGATGCTGGTCTTACAAACAAATGCTGCCCTCTAATGCCTGACTGGTGAGTCTGTCGGTATACGGTGAATAATACATCAGCACAAGTTTAATGTCTCGTGAACTTCACTTTACATTCTTCTAGGGAGGATCACACAAGCTTACATTTCTGCTTCAGTCAGTCTAGATCAAATTCCAGTTATGCAACTGGAGTTTTCTTCCACTCTACATACATTTCCAAGCATTAACCAGAGGAATCCTGCCCCACTGTGCACATGCATAACACTGATTTAAACCAGTTTTTCATAGAGATGCACCCATCATCAGTCATCACTTTTCAGGCCCGGTGGTTGTGTGTCTGTTATGAAATCTGATCTGGGTTCATTTAATCGAACACTAATCTGACCTAATTTGACTGTGATTTTATTTGCTACACTCTGAGGACCTGCTGTGTTCTGAAACATGCAGATGTGATCCCGTTCAGTGTTCCTCACCGTTACTATAAATGACTTCCAGAATATTTCCACTGTGGAATAATTACGTTCACTGCAGCCATGAATTTGCATCTCATAACGGCTTGAAACACAGACCTGGGGCCTGTCTAATGAACCGTACTGCAAATAATTCAAGTGTCCCACGGAGTGACATGTGCACCCTCCCACACACTATCACACTCCTCTCCCATGTGATTTCATTTCATGCATCAGGTTTTCCTGCCATTTCGAACGGGCAGATTTTCTTCCTCACCACGTCCTCTTGTTATTTTGTTGAACAATTAATATGCACCCTTCTCTCTGGACTTCTTAGATCATTGTTCTGTTTGTTCTTTCGTCACTTTCATCCCATGCTAGAACTAATCTTGGCCTCATTAAACATTCTCTTTCAGGACTTTGTCGGTTTCTAGGCCAGCTGGAGCAGATGCTAAATTTATCTCCTGTCCTTTTACTTTAAATTCAGAGGTTTGTATTTGAATACAATCCTGAGGTAAACAGAACGGTTTGAAGTTTCGTCACCAGAGCGGAGCTACAGGTCACATTTTCAAGCACGAAGCGACACAGTTTCCATGACGTACATCTCACCTTATCTCTCTTGTTAGAAGAAGCTTATGAGATGACTTGAAACCTCGTCAGATTAAACAAGCTGCTCATATTCTTCTTTTGTGCACAAACCGTTGCATGGGGACACCTTTGCAGCAAAAGTAGGGCAGTGAGCTCTAAGCTGTCTGGGATTTAACTCAGATTGATGCTGCCGGCACTGATGTTAAAATTGGCATGAATGTGCCATGTGGTCATCTAAAGTCAGAAACTGAGTCATGATCTAAAAGTTTAAGCGGCACCCTCAGCTTTTATGCATAATACAAGTAAAGAAAATGCACTGTTGCTTTCTCTAGAATGTGAAGATCTGTGAATTTTCACTCTCTGCAGCTCTGGCATCACCTACAACTCTGCTCAGACACTGTATAACTACTCCATGCTACACAATGGCAAATTGTATTATTGGAATAATTAAACTAGGGATGTCCCGATGGTGGCATTTTTTAACAGACTGGTATCAGCATAATCTGAAGCCCCATCCTTTGCTTACATCTGCTGCTACACTGGTGTTGTAAGGGGACACAATCTGTGGCAGGATGGTAGGGATGTATTTGTTTAAACATAGACTTGATAAATGCAGGATTATCAAGCAACAAATTAGTTTTTTCAGAATATATCTTCAAAAAAAGTTAATATTTATCCCATGCTAACATTGCTATCTGAGTCAATGAATACATCCTTTAACCAGCAAAGACTCTACGATGTGTGTTATTGGGTTTCTAGGTGACGCCTCGTGACGCCTTCCTCTGGTCGCTGCACTATTAAACAGTAAGAGGCCCCACCTGGTGGTGCAAGCAGGTATTACAGTCAATCTGCAATACTATCATACTGAATCGGATCAGCAGATACTAAATGACTCTGATTAGATTGGGGGCCAAAAATCTCCCGGAAGTTTGCCAAACATGTTCAAAATGGAACCTGATTCTGAAGAAAAATAATCATACATCAAGCTCCACCCTGCAAGTTGACAGGATTGGTTTCTTAGATTTGTCACATATGAAACACTGGAAGTCTGAATCTGTGTTTTTGAGACTGCAGTCTTAAGGTGGAAATGCTAAGCCATTGTGTTGAGTGCTTTTTTTGTTTTGTTTCCAGTTTATAAAAACCTCATATGTGACCCATCTGCACGAAATCAGATGCACTGAGCCTTGGGCTATATCTGAGATATAACACATGATAATATATTGATTTTGGGTTTATTACTTAGATCGGTCCATTTAGTTGTTTTCTACATGTAGATAACATCTAATATTACATATCGCTGTCAAATACCGTGCGACTGATTTCGTGCGGATGAGTCACATATGGACATCTTAACAAGGTAAAAATAAAAACTACATTTCTACCAGATGTGCCCTTTCAGGATCCTTTTATTTTTTTTATTCTGTTGTAAATTTATCATTTGAGTTAATCTATAATAGATCTCTTAAAATATTAAGACATGTTTTCTTTGGAGTTCTTTCTATGGTGTTCACATGTGCTTTTTGTGTCTCTACTCTGTGTGTAACTGTCATTTGGTGGAATCAGCAGACGAGCGTTTTTCCAGCTTTTACTTAATAATATCCATCATCTCATTATCCAAAGTGACACTGAGTTGTAAACATCAAATCATCAGTAAATAAATATATAGATATGTATAATCTCATTGGGAACATTCACATGTAAACATTTGCAAAAGGTATCACTTGTAGATGTTTCACAGCATGTACTCTGACAATACCAAATCATTATTCTGTTTTTTTTACATGATACAAACAAACCCCAACTGAACACCTACAGCGCTGAACATCTGACTTTTAGAAACTCTCGGTTTAGACACAAACACGAGTGTTAGTAAGTCGGCCTAAGAGCTACTGAAGTCTATAGAGGCAAAGGTAACTTCTTGTATTGTACTCCATTGATCTTCAACGGTGAGGCACTAGTCAGATTCTGCCCCGGAGATCTCGGGTGGGATCCTCTCTATGGATTCTGTGGAGGAGCTCTGGGACCGCTGGGACTCGGAGGCTTGAGGACTATCCACCCCAGAATGCATCAGGGGTAGGTAGATGTCGTCCATGTTTGGCAGTACAAACACTTTCTGGAGAGGAAAAAGAAAGGAAGATATAAAAGACAGAATTAGCACCGTAGGATAGAACGTTGAGTCTTCTCTTTCTTTACCTGGAACTCATCCTGCAGTTTCCTTTCAATCCACTCAGTCACATGGCAGAAAGTCACCTCCCTCTCCCCCAGTTTGGGACGAACATGCAGATCCAGCTTGGGAGGGACGCAGAAGCTGTACCTGCAGAGGACATTGAAATGATCCAGTGCATCATAATGAGATTGTTTCAGTTCTAATCAGCCACGTTTTCAATCTGTCTGGCTGTCATGAGGCTTGAAGCACCCTCGGTACGCGACTAAATTTACTGAGTGAATAAATAAATGTTCTTTTGGCAGGAGATTAAGTGTGAAACGTGAGTCACACCACAGAAAGTCACCAACACAACATGCTGCTGACTTATTTTTGAGCTTTGTTTGTGAAATAAAAGTGCACTTGTGACATGAAGTACTAGAACGTCCTTTAAATCTGACAATTTAGGTTTACTAGTGGGACATAGGAGAGAACATTTTGAAAGAAAAGGGCAAAACACATTCAATGGCACCCCTGCTCAGTATTACTGCTTAAGTAACTAATTACGCAAGTAGAAAACAAACTGATCTCCAGAAGGCATAAAGGTAAAGATAAAACCTTGTCCTCAACATTTCAAGTAGGATTAGGGTGTCATTTTTGTTTTAAAGTATGCCATGTAAAAGTTCAGGCATCCCAAGAGATGTGAGCAGGTAGCTTTTATCAAAGTCTCAAACCTTAGTTGGTTTGTTAGGGCTGTGGCTTGTTTATAATCATGGTTTGGAAAGTTAATACAAATTTCAAAGCTCCTCAAACTTGTTCCCAACAATCAGTCATGGATCCCTCTGAGAAGCGCCTAGAACACTGAAAATTGAAATTAATGATGTCCACAAAGTGTTAGAAGTCAATAAGAAAGTAATAAAGTTTTCTCAGGCAGCCCTTTCCTCAGCTCGTAATCCATCATCTTTATTATGGGGAGCTTCCTGGGGGGCCTGGAGTCCATCCCAGCTGACACTGGGCAAAAGACGGAGTACACCTTGGACAGGACACCAGTCCAATGTATGTCACTTATTTACCTAACATGGTTGTTCTAGGACTGTATGAGGAAGCTGGGGAAAGTTCATCCAGGCATAGAAAGTGTGGAAACCCCCCCACACAGAAAGGCCCAGGCCGACCAGCAAGTTTAAACCCAGAACCTTCTTGTCTTGAGACGACAGCAGTAACCACTGCACCGAAGTACCGCCCTCAGCTTGTACTACATTTACAGGAACATTGGATGTTAAGCTAAGGTCTGGAAGAGCAATAGAACTGCTCGTAGGGTTGCTTGAAAGGCAAATCAAAACCCCCATTTGGCTGCTACAGGCCTTCAAGGAGATTTTTTCAGACTCTGAAGTGTTGGTGATCTATTCCACTGTGCAGAAACACCTGCACAAATGTGATCTTCATCAAAGAGTAATCAGAAGAAAACCTTTCCTGCATCCTCACCACAAAATTCAGCATGGAACTTTTGTAAAAGAACATCTAAACAAGCTTGAGACAATTTGGAAACCAGTCTGGAAGATGGATGAAGTAAAAATAAAGCTTCTACGTGGCAATGAGCAAAGACATGTCTGGAGTAAAAAGTAAGACGGGGTCGATGGGTCATGCTTTTAAATAGTAGAAAATTCTGGAGGCAAACATCACATTGTCCAAAAAAAAGAAGCTGAAGATGAAAAGAAACTAGCTTCTACAACATGATTCCGATTTTTAAACACAACTGAAAAGCCACAACGGACTACCTCAAGAGGCCCGTGGTGACGTTTTGCCCTCACAGGCCCTTCACCTGAGCACTATCTAAAGTCTGTGGAAAGACCTAATGCAAAACGGGCCGAGAATCTCACAGAACTATGAGCTGTTTGCAGGAAGAATCAGCCAAAGTCCCCCAAACAAGAACTGAAAAACTCTTAGCTGTTACAAAAGCATTTACAACCTTTCATACTTGCCAGAGGGGGGAGACAGTAAGTACTGAGCGTGCATGGTTGCCTTGGGCTCTTTTATTTATTTTTTTCTATTTTTAAAATGCAATTATACTTAAATCTTTTTTAACAAAAAGTTCCATCTTTAACATTGTGACTGTTGGGAATTTTGCATGCTACTGCATATGATCATATATTTCTGAATGTAATCAGACAAGGATTCTTGTATTCCCCCCCCATGGTTTTATAGATTTTTGAGTTTTTAGCATTAGCTTCAATTTATACTGGTGTCTGTGTAGCTACAGCTTGACTTTCCGCTGTCTTTCTGCCCATTCTTTCTAACTAAACACACATTAGCTTGTGAAGTCCAAATCCCAACACATTCACACAGTCCTGCTTCCATCACTTCAGAAAACCCTACATTGACCAACATTCATGCTTTGACTTCTTTGTGAGTTATACTCAGTCGCCTTTAATCTTTAATCTGGTTATGGCATAGGCTAATCTAATCTTCTAACAAAGCCCAAACACTTCATGTTCTTGAAGAGTTTCTGTTTATCTAAATGGCTGTTGTGGTAACTTGTCATCTAACTCTGCCCTGCCTCACTCTTTGACTATTAGCCACCATGTCGTCATGTCACTACGTCTGTCCGTACCATATCCTGTCTGTGGGGGGCGGTGGGATGTTAACCACCAGAGGTCCTGACAACTCTTGAACCTCCACAGTGAGCAGCAGCGGCGTGTTGGACATCTCCTCAAACTTCTTCTTAATGAACTCGTTCTCTGTCGCTTTCTGGAAGTACTTGGATTTAGCGATTTTGTCCACAAATCTCAAAATCTTCCTTCCAGTCCTTCCACCCCCAGTCCTGTAAGAGAGGATTAGAGGAGAGGAGAGTGTTCTTATGATCCTAAACATGTCAGTAGATTTAGTATTCAGATGCTGAAGTCAAAATTTAAGGGGAGATGAGCAACAGCCATCTGGGGTGTGATGTCACGTTATTTTCTACTGAGCAGTCACAGGACAGAATGACAGATGTAACACTTCATGGTGCTGCTTACAAGTTATATGTTCTCCTTTTACTTATGTTCACTTTCTCACAAATGTCAAAGTTGATGGTTTTAGCATGTAGTATGATAATATACAGCATTTTGAAGCATGATCTAAGTCAATTGGAGTGTTAGTCCAATACCATTTTCCTTGATAATACACAAGTATTAGTAAAGTGCATTAAAGTTAATAAAATCAGTCCAGTGTATATGCTTGACAACTGAAGAGCAATGATTTAAGAAAATAGCAAATAGATAGTAAATAGTTAGAAAGTAGGTGGTCAAGAACCTTGTTGTAAAGCTCCAGTAGGGCACTATCTTAAATGCAGTGTCAAGAAAGGGTAGGGTGTACTGTGAGACAACAAGCTCCAAAAGACGATGGAAACCTGTGTTCTCTACCTGTGTATCAGAAAATATATTGTAGATTAGCTGTAGTACCTTGTTGCACCACCAGGTTGAGCCTCCTATAGTGAGGAGGTGGTCAATAGGACTATGGGTAGTTCCATGTTGGCAAGTACAGAGCACTGTGGGGGTTTAGCTAGAATTCAACCACCATGACAAAGACTTCTGTCACGCTTAATGACCTCCAACTAGAGCTCATGACTACAAGACAAGCAAGGTCAGTTAGAATAACAGTAGTTCATGGGAAATGTCCGAATTTGATCAATTAATCAATTGATATTGATAATGCTGGCGATTCATGTTTAAGAAAACTTGTTGAAAGTTCTCTTCCCTTAATCTCAACTTTTATGGCACAGATACAAACAAGGATTAGGTTTAAGTTTGTGTTAAGAAATGCCTTGATAGGCCCTAATACCTGTCCTTAAGATCATATCAGGAAATCCCCAGCATTTAGAACTAAGCAAATATACACCAACAAGAAAACCACCGGTCAAATATCATGTAGGCCCCCTTTGCACTGACAAAAAAACATGGACATGGGACCTCGGTGGGGTCTTGTGGTGTCTGACACCAGGACATTGGATCCTTTGGATCTTGTGAAATGTATAGTGGGACCTTAGTAGATTGTGCTTGTTACAGTGCATCCCATAGATGGTCAACCAGACTGGGATCAGGGGTGTTTGGAGGTTGGGCCAACACCTTGGGCTTTTTGTCAGATTGCTCAATCTGCTTCTCAGCAGTTTTTGCCATGTGTTGGGGCACATTGTTGTAATAAGATGATCACCAGTCTGTGGTTTTAGTATTCTTGCTGATTGATGTACACATATATTTTCTTTTTCATCTAGTACATGAATTCATATCCTCAGTATTTACCCTTCGGTTGCTGTTGTGGATCCCTTCTCTCCCACTGGACCCTGAGGCTCAGAGAGAAGCAGTTCATCCTCATCAGACGAACCAGCACTGGAGGACTCCTCATCACTGTCCGCCAACACACTGAGGACCGGCCGGCAGCTGAGAGGATACAGGGGGAGTGAAGGATGGACGGATTGAGCAAGAAGTAAAGGCATTATCAGAAGCATCAACGCTACTGTTCCAGAAGAATTTCCAACTTTTAAACCCTAACTTACAGCATATAATATCAATGTCTGTGCTACGTAAAATACCAGTGACTTGAATTGACTCGTACCTCCATGGACTTTACAGACACTTGTTCAAGAGCAAATTTGCAATTACTGTGAGTGAAAAAGTCTTGGTGAAAAGATAAGATTTACAAATTCGGCTTTCCTATCTTGGTGCTCAGCTTTAGATGTGGCACAAAGACAGCTAATGTGAAGCTTTTCCTGGACTTTAATCCCTGCCACTGTGGGTTTATGAAATGCAGGTCTACGCTAATCAATGAAATGTGAAGCTCTGTACATCAGCGACAAGGGGGATCAGAGCAGAGGGAGAGATGTGTGTGTGCGTGCATGTGTGTGTGTGTGTGTGTGTGTGTGTGTGTGTGTGTGTGTGTGTGTGTGCTACTGAAAGGATTAGAATGAAAATCCCATGTTGTTATATTGGACATCCATCATGCTACTTGGGCTGAAAAATATCATAAAATATAGATTATGGATAGTAAAAACACTACTTGAAAAAAGCTACTTTGTCGATTTTATATCAAAAAAGGCAGCTTAATTGTTCTCTGCCAGTAAAATCAGCTGTATAATATCTTTCTGGGCTTTGAAGGGAGCTTTCTGGAGTCTGAAAAAGGGAATGTAGGTTGCACCGTTTTTGTAGCTTGACATATCTAAAAGTCAGGGTATATAAGCCTGTAATGTGTGATTTACATGATTCTTTAAGTACTCATTTAGTGTCTCTGATAATCCTGTTTCCAATATTACGAACCATTAGTTCTCTGCCAGTACTGGCTCAAAGTTGGTTCACTTGCAAACCTTCAAAGCATCAGTTTGATTTTCCGTTGGCTAGATAAAGCCATATAATCAAATCACAGGTTTCATTATAAAGGTCCCTGTAGTCTTTTCTGAACTTCTGTCAAGGACCACAGTGCGAGGAGACAGTGTGTCTCTACCACGGACCACTGCTGGAAAGCCGATAAGTTCTAATTTGTTTTATTTTCCCTGCTGTTTGATGCTTTAAAGAGCCCATATTGTATCACTTTGGGGTTTTCCTCTTACCTTTAGTGTGTTGTAACTTTTCTGTGCATGTAAAAGGTTTGCAAACTGATGAAACCCAAAGTCAACGTCAAAGATAGTTATACTGTCTCAAAGAAAAGACGCTATACCCTACCGACCTGTAATTTTAAGTCCAGGCTATTCTTATCTATGTCACCATGCAACACATTTGCATAACAGCTAGTTTGACCCTCAACAAAGAATGAGCAGCCTACCCACAAAGAATTATTAGTTCTCTACTAGAGCTGCTTCTGCTACAGCTATATTTCTATACTCAGAGATCTGGGCTTATGGTAAATAACAAACTTTGTCTCTTTTTTGTACGCTCAGCTGACCAATCAGAGCGGACTGGGCTTTTGGGAGGCAGGGCTTAAAGAGACAGGAGCTATAACGCAGCATTTCAGAGAGAGGCTGAGAAGAGGTGCTACAGCAATGTTTGGATGAAAAAATGTGTTTCTCAAACACTGAAGCATGTATACATATGTTAGTAGACCCCAAATTAGACCCCAATTAAACTGCAAACCAAATTGGGCTCTTTAATAATTGGCAGTAGGTTATACATACTCTTGCAAACAGCAGTTGGTGTTTGGAAATGCTGTTGTATAAGCTGCTGTTTGCAACTGCATTTATATTTACAAGGTGTTTATAAGTGCTACCCAAATGACTTTCCTGTACACTACTTGTTAGTCTACACATTCACATTGAAGTTCTTGCTTTTCGTCTTGTTTTATAAAAATGGCGGTCACAAAGGTATAGCTGGATTTTATTGGTCACAGTAATCCCAACTTCTGATCTAAATAGACTTTGCTTCTAGATTAGCAAAGTGTTGGTGCCACTCTGGAACCACTTTTCTTGGCTGAGAGGCGGTTCTGTAGCTATTTAAATGTAAATAACTGGTTTGAAATTATGCACTGGCCCTTGAACTGCCTTTTTGGAGAAGGGGAATGAGGGTATAGCATAAATTGCTAAATGGGAATACTTGAGCTACATAGTCAGAATCAAGTATTTATTTAATTTAATTATCCATAAACAGATATTTACCATTGACTACTTTATTCACAAGCAGATTATTGATTAAGGAAGTATGAGATATCACAATATATATATAGAAATGAAATGTATTGCAAAGGTGGCTCTGTGGTTAGCACTGTCGCCTCGCAGCAAGAACGTCACCGGTTCGTGTCCCAGTGAGGACACCTGGATCTTTCTGTGTGGAGTTTACATGTTCTCCCCGTGCAGTGTGGGTTCTCTCTGGTTCTCCGACTTCCTCCCACAGTCTAAAAACATGTTGAGGTTAATTGGTGATTCTAAATTGTCCATATGTGTGAATGTGAGTGTGCTTGGTTGTCTGTCTCTAAGTGTAGCCCTGTGATAGACTGGTGACCTGTCCAGGGTGTCCCCTGCCTTCACCCTGAGTCAGTTGGGATAGACTCCAGTCCCCTGCGACCCTAGTGAGGATTAAGTGGTGTATAGATGATGGATGGATGTATTGCCAAAGAAAACTGTCCATATTGTTGGATAACACCTGTTGATAACTGCTTATTACAATCATGTTGTTTTATACCCAAGAGATTAAGCTAAAAATGCTGCTGCTGCTATTAAATCTATTCAGATTCAGCTGGAGGAGGTTTGTCGTGTGTGTGGGTTCAGTGTGTGAGTAGCTTTGTGTGTAGCACTGACCGTGGACTTCCCATGTCAGTCACACAGTGTATCGTATCCTGACCGCCCTCTTTACCCAGCTTGGACAGATTGAACTTGGTCTGCAGGGTCATCTGCAGGTTACCAGTGTAGACCAGCTGCAGCTCCACCCACAGGCCTGCAGGGGGCACCACAAAGGGGTCAACAACAGAACGCCAAAATTAAGACAAAGCTCATGCACACACAACGTAATCTGGACACACACTGCTTAGTAGGCAGATTAAACAGCTTTCACTGTGATTATCAGGCCTTGAAATTAAATTTATAATAAATTACGGAGGATTAATAATCCCCTTTAGGATCTGGCACATGTGGGCCGAGCAGGAAGAGCTGAAAACAGGATAATTTGTTGTGTAACAGTGAAGTGGGCGGAGAATTCGAGACAGAGTTAAAAATCATGAGGTCACACACCTACACCCGCTGACACGCTTAAAATCCCGTCATGGGTAGAAGCTGCCAGATTGTCTGATTTTAGAGCACACACACATACACATGCGGGTCTGCCCTAAATGTTGAGGGCCATGGCGTAATGGCTGCCCTGCTCTGTGAGATTACAACAGGATAACAGCGTCTGATCTGATGCTCTGCTCTGCTCAGCTGTAATCACATGAGCAACAGGTCATGTTCTCGCTCATCTCTTGCTGTCGCTGCTGGTGTTTGCATAGTTGCATGCGACTTCGGCGTTATGTTTCGCGGTGTTTAATCTCCAGTTTGTACTCACCTCTGTGGTTAACCTCTGGTCTGGAGGTAGCAGTGATTTGCGGCATAGAACAGCCCATATCCAACTCGGTGAGAGTCAGTTCATTCATAAAGTAAGGCAGCTGTGGGGGGATATTACACATCATAGGTTAAAATGGTACAAATGTAGTGCTGTATTTGTGACGCAGTAGCTTTACAACTGCTCTCACTCTGATTTTGCTGAGCTTCTTCTGGATCTTGTGGGAGACGGCGTCCGCCCAGTGCTTCTCTCGCAGGAAATCCCAGAAGATTCGACCAATTAAAGCATTAACCCATGCAGTTTGGCTCCTCCCAGGGTCCTCTGTTAGATCACAGGTACACTAAAAAAGAAACAAGGATGACTAAAGTGCAGGTTTCGAGCAAGTTAGAGTTAAAACTTGAAGAAGAAGTGTGAGGAAGAAGTTTTGTGTCCAGCTCTGGAATGTTCCTACAGCTTCACTGTGTTAGTTTCCCTTAATTTTATCAGCAAGCATGACTTACATTTCCTCTGATGGTGGGGCTTGCTTCGGTGCTGCTGCCTCCGGGACTGGAGAGGGGGGTGGGCTCCTCTGCAGCCAGGAGACGAGCCATGTAGCTGGGGTAGTCGAACACGGAAAGGCCCCTGGTGCTGCTGGATGGAACGGCGGAGGCGGAGGCCACTGGAGGTGTGGAGGGAGCGTCATCGTCGCTGCTGCCCACCCTGCTGGAGCCTCCGCTGCTCGGGACGTGAACCTGTGCGGTAACACTCGGCGCTGGGTCACCTGTAACTATGCAGGAAATGTTTACCTGGTTGGTTGATCATTCAGGGATCATTCACAAAGTCATTTAGCCTTTCAAGTTGGTGTTAATGTTCTATCTTGAGCTAAAAAACACATGAGTGCACTTTTTTGAAGGAAAAGTCTGACAATTTAGCAAATTAGGCTTTCTTTCTGTCTTACTGCAATACTGCAACACCTCACCATCAACAGGGTAAAACTAATTGGTCTCTTGACGGTCCAAACCCAGCTCACATTCTCTTTCATCATTACTAATTCATTTGATGGGCGGATCAACTCAGCTTTTTCAGTTAAAACTTTAAGGCAAGGTAAAGGCAGATGTCTCTCATGGAAGAGATTCGTGCCTTTATTACCTCTCAGTTACACTATTATCATTTTTTGTGGATGGGCTTAGAGCAGTCGTCTTCTTGGCGTCTGCAATTTCTACTAATAGGAAAAGAAGTCGTGATCATGTCACACCAGTATCGGTTGTCCTCCACTGGCTTCGTGTCCATTTCAGCATTGATTTTAATATTTTTTTGTTTTGGGTTTTTTTTAAAGAATTTAAATGGTTGGTGCCAATTTATTTAGCACAACTTTTACATCACGATATCTCGGTTAGGGCACTTATGTTGCTCGAGCAGATGCTCCCAGGTTTTCTGAGATCCCAGAACCAAAAAACAGGCATTTGAGCCCTCACAGTGGCTGCTCGTAATCTCTGGAACTGTTGAGCTTTTTATGTAAGAACTGCTCAGACTGCTTTGGTTGGCATTTGATTTGGCACCTCTTGAACTCAACAATCAACATGCTGCGTGTAAAATTAACACACTGTATTTTTACAGGGTGCCAGCCTGGTTCTTTAGAGTCTCTACAGGTCACTAGATCCTGCAAAACATAGTTCACTTTACCTATGAGGGCCATGAGCAGGCTAATCTGTACGTTGAGCTAGTCGATCAATATTTGAGTGACACGCTGTGTGTTGTATTGTGAGTTCTCGAGTCAGAAAAATGTTATTTTTTATTACAAATAAGTAGAATATAAGAAGGATTGTTTAAGGACTTCTACTTGTTATGGAATATTTTTACATTGCTGTATCACTACTTGGACTTAAAGAATCTTAATGCTTCTTCCAACACTGGACAAAGAAGTTGTTGTCATGTAGAACTATTGACTAAGGAAATAAATAAAACTGTAGTAAATGGTGGCAGATGACAGATCAAATGATAAATTTGCTTTAGGAATTAAAATCTTATAACGTATTATTTATTTGTTCTTCCAACTCAGCAGTCTTCTCCAAAACAAGACTGGTGTCTCTAATAGTTTTTTTCCTGACGCTCCATCAGGTCACCAAACCACAGACACAGTGCGTTCCCTTGAAAGGGATTGGCTTTGCAATGCAAAGAATTGGAGCATGTAATCCATAATCCACACACATATATATAGCATTTGTATCGAGGCCTTCTCTTCTCTAATGCATTATTAACGTACCCGATCTGGACACACATCTGCCAGGCCTCTGTCTGTCCCTCTCCTTATCTCTCTCTGCATCCACGGATGCAAGCAGGAAATGACGAAACCACTCTTCTTTCTCTCGTCCCGTTCGGCCAAAGAGGTAAAGGATGGCGGGATGTTTGGAGGAACTTGGTTTTGGACTCGCCGGTTCGGCTCCCGGCTCCTCTCCTCGGCTCTCCTCCGACGTTCGTCCCTCATCCTCCTGGGATTTTGCCCCCTCGGCTAGCTGGATGCAGATGGGATACTTTGGGTTCCACACCCTCTTCCGAGCCAACACAGATGGCAGAAGGAATACCTTTGGGAAACAGCGGCAGAGCTTAGCTGTGTCAAAGCGAAAGACAACTGGGCAATGTAGTCAGACCTTGTGAGTTAATAACTACTGCTGAAGAGTTTACCCACATTTCTTTCTTGCCAGTTAACCTTTATTTTAAATATGCTTTTCTCCATTTTTGACTATTTTCTCCTTGGGATTGTTGGTAATTTCAGGCACCATAGCAAAAATGTCAAACTATCATCCATGCATTGTTATTCAAAATGATATGCATCCATTAATTTGACACTGAACGCATTTACACTTCATGCTATTTTCTCTTTTTTCCAACATGCTCGAGGAGGGGCTCTGGGGATTTCACAGTCACATTCACGGTGTCCAGACAGCCCTGAATCCTGATTTTTTCCAGATCCCCTTCATTTTCCTTTAGTTCCACCAGGATATTGACATTTGTGGTTTTGTGTGACCCATCTCACCCCCTAGCATATGTACCCTTTTCAGATAAATTGCCCAAAAAAGTGTGATTTTCTGACTTTTCATCTGTTGACTGCACAGAAAAATGTATCAGGGCTTTCAATCCTGTTCAAAAAAAATACAGCAGCCTCAGATATCGCACAAATAGTTCCTTAATACAATTACTTAGGGAGTCATCATACTTTGCTCCTTGCAAGCTGAAAGCAGCGTGACTTGACAAAGGTGGCCTCGTGGACTCTCTCATCGTACGTGGCCCTGCGGCTGATGTTAGAACGTGGGGAGTCCAGACGGAGACAGGAGCCCTCCAGGGTGGCAAACACAGAGTGAGTCAGAGCCGGATGGCAGGTTTCTGGGTCGTAATCATGTACCTCATTCATCCAGCCCTGAAAAGTCAGAGAGTAAGTGTTAATTTAAATCAATGTTGGTGCGCTTTCAAGTGAGAAACACTTCATCTGGAATTGTTCCCATTCTGAATATCATGTTAGTAATCAGCCTGAGAGGAGTCGTGAAGAGCAAAGTTCCCTTTTTTTCTGTGACAGAGTTGATGGCACTAAACAATCAGACATGTTAGTTTTACCTCTAGTGAATTTCAGTGAATGTGAACAAAACAGTTTTCGTGAGGTTTGTAAGTCTGCAGCTGAGGCTTTAGTAGAGCAGTGGTCAAGAATGATGCTAGTGCTGAAGACGTCATAGATT